GGGCATTTTGCAACGTGAGCAACTCATTTCCTTTGACTGTTCAAAATTACAGCGGTCCAAGTTAATTTTCTCTCGTCTAATATCCACTCATAATGCAGTCTGAAGTCATGCATGAAAGTAATATTGCACAGACCAGTGAAGCTGTGAGATTGCATTCTGTCCCTGTGCGTTTCCAATTGTCAGTGCTAAAAAGTGATTGACAGAATACACAATAGATTTAGAAATCAGACGTTTGTTCAATATCAGAGCCATGTTGTTCAACTCACCTCACCCCCAGACATCTAACAGTCCAATCTATAACTCGTGCTATCTCTGATGAGTTTCGTGTCGTGAAACAATGTGGTGATGTCGTGAAAGAATTCAACTATTTGTGCAGACACATTAGCCTGCAAATGAACAGGTTTGCGTTATCACAATACACTTAGGCAAACTGACTGACGCGCTTTGAATTGTGCTAATTGACGGAGTTATTTTCTCATCTTTCCATCTGGGAGTTATTATACTGACAGACAGTGACAGGTATACAGCATAGTGTAATCAACACATGCATCACAAACGAGCACAAAACTTCCCCTTTATAATCATTTTCTGCCATTTTCTAGTTATTGTAATGATACCATTTTATTAGATTAAAAAATCTTTTTTATTTGTGTCTTTGTTGGTAGTGTTTTGTTTTGCTTTTCAGTTAGGGGTATTAACCAGCCTTTTCATCACATTGGTATCACCTCTTGAAGGCTACRTAATGAACACACAACCATTCGAACTTGCAGCGCAAGCGACAAGGATGGAGCAGTTTGCTAGGTCAGTTTTTAATCATCCGTCTTTTCTCCTCCACCACTCAGTGAAAAAGGCTCAGAGCAGAGACTCCTTTTTTCCACTCCACTTGACCCAATCACTGCTGCAAACTCTGGACTGAGACCTGGCAACATGACAGCAGCTGAGACCGAGGCTGAGGGGAGAAGGAGCAAGCAGGAAGCTGCAGGTGAAAGGAGCAGAAGGCTGGAGGRCAGGATCAATCAAGCATGCATAACCTCGCAGATTATCTTCCTTCAGCAGAAAGTTGCAGCTAACCCGACCTGCTCTCATTGCTCTCATTAACACCATGTCCACCCACCACCTTCATGGCATTTTTTTCAGACATATGAAGAAGCATAGAATGAATAGAAAACTAGCTTGCAGGACACAGGAGTAACTGAGATGTGGAGGATGGTTGGAGGATGTATTGATTGTTTTCACTTTGGTATAATTGCAATTAAAGTTTGCAAACAGCTCAGTGGATCAGTTTCACTGCTGTCACCCTGCAGGATGTGTAGCAGCACTGATGGACACGCACACATTTCCTACAGACCAACAGAAACTGATAATACTCTGGGTCTGTTTCAGTGAACAAAAAGCATCCCCAAATTTTTATTTTTATTTATTTTTTTGACAAATMACTTCCCCAGAACAAACAAATGAAAGACTTCTGTTGGCTTTGATCACTGGATAATGTGTAATTTGAAAATTGCATGCTCTTTTATGAGGACTATCCTCAATCACTATGAGGCCATGAAACTCCATGATTACTTGTGTTTCATCTACTTATCACTTTCCAAATGTAATTAACAACTTAAAAAAAAGATGTCCTGATGCATCTCAGTAATCTGGGTAGAAAAAAATCTAAAAGAAAAAATAAGGAGGTCCTCTGGATGGGTTCTTCTTTAGTGAAACGTTCGTCCAAGAGACTTCTTCAGTCTGATAAGTTTCAGGTGAACTCAGCCTTATAAGCACTGCCTCCACATGGACAAACAGGTTAGTCACATGCAAAAGAGGGCCATAGCCTAACAATAGGCTTGATTAGCTCTATTTAGTAAAAAAAAAAAAAAAAGACAAAAACAAGGGGACGTTGAGCCCCGCCTACATCCACTACATTACACGACACCCAAGAACCACAGCATCCAAATCAATAAGTCAGGTGATGGGGCACATGACCCTCTGTGAACAATAGAGATAATCAAGCCTATTGTTAGGCTATGGCCCTCTTTTACATGTGATTAACCTGTTTGTCCATGTGGAGGCAGTGCTTATAAGGCTGAGTTCACCTGAAACTCATCAGATTGAAGAAGTCTCTTGGACGAGAGATGAAACGTTTCACTAAAGAAGAACCCATCCAGAGGACCTACTTATTTTTTTCTTTTTGATTAAAAAAATATATTTAATACTGACTAATGTTGCTAATCTACCAAATTAAATAGAACTGCTATTTTTGGAAATATTGAAACATAATACAAGAGTTGTGTTTTGAAACATTAACAGGCTAGTTGCACAAAAACTGGCATTTGTTTTAACTTATTCGATTTTGAAAATAATGTTTAATGTGCATGTTTGGAGCCAGGTATAAGTGGCAAGCTTTTTAAATCTGATGTGCTTCCTTGATGCAAAGCATTTTGTGTGTACACTGTGCCAGCACCACACCATTTCATTCCACATTTTAAATTTCAAGTGGTCTCAGTGAATATTCAAGAGCATACCATTTGGAGAAGAAAACAACCTTTTTGAGTAAATGTATTGGCCGGTAATATCCCAAAGGTCTGAGAAAGGGAAATTTCCCAAACTCCTTTATAGCAGCAATTCTTCATAATTTCAGGTCATTTTAGCAAATGTTGATCCAGCTGCTTTAGAAAAACATTACATTTTGAAGAAAATGAAAGGTTCAAACCTTGTTAATGTTATACTATTTTTTATATTCATTTATTTTTGCTTTTCTTAAATTTTGAGTTGTCTGTGAGTTCAAATATATATTCTAAAACTGAAAACTAGCAAATGTTGTGATCCCAATGGACATATGCACAGTGAACAATAACACCCTGAAGGGAAAGTAGAATTTATCAGCTCATGGGGAGAAATAACTTAAAAATTGTAGTGGAGCCAGTCACTAGAGGGCGCTCATCTTTTGTGACTTCAGCTTCTTGCTCCAGGTCCTGTATCTAGTTATAATATACAGCATGTTGACTGTTTAGAGTGAGTCTCAGCTACTACTGCATCAAATTTTAGGTCAGTATATGTAAAACTGTGGTGGTTACAGCCATTTTTGTGCTCACTAAAGTCAATTAGCTTGGATGAGGTTCACAAAWGGTAATCAGTTGTAAAGGTTCTTTCAGTGATTATACTCTTAGAGTTAAAATATACTCAGTGTTCATAACTGTACATTAATATGTTTTAGTTTAAAACATAAAACATGGATTAAATGCTTTATTGCCACTCTGGCAACAGTTTTTCCAAAAAGCATTGGCTTAATCAACTTTCACTCTGCGATAACCCTCCACTACTTTCTAGAACAGACCCAATCAGTGCATCCCATTAATTTTTTATTTTATTTTTTTTTTTGGAGCCTCAATTTCCTGACCGTGTGAGTAAGACATCTTTATGGGAACCAAATTGACTGTTCATTAATGAGAGGAAGCTATATCTAGAACCAACATCTTTAATTAACACATCTCCGGCACTTCCTGTCTTTGATCTCGCCGTTTGATTTATGCCTCTGCGAGGGAAAGGTTGGTGGAGGGGTCCGCGAGAAGTTCGGAGGGGATGAAGACACTCCATGAGAAAATGATGAAACCGAGGCGCCCCTGTTGTTCAGGAAGTCCTGCAGCATGAGGACCTTTTCCCCTTTGTGTCAGGGGGCCAGCTCAATTACCAGTCAGCACGGCTATCTATTTAATGACCCGATAGGGCAATAATCCACAATCCGTACCATTTTAATGGCTTTCTGTCTAATTAGGAAGTGCTTTTCAAAAAACTGACACATCTGAGGCCTTGCTATTGTCTAAAAATCCATTGTTAAAATAATCAGTGTGACCAGTTTGGAACTACTAAGTAGTTTTTAAAATTTTAATATATATATTTTTGTGTGTGTGTGTGTGTGTAAAGTCTCATGATGTGAAATAGTGTAGTAATCCCTTTGATTTATTGCTCAATGTCACAAAGGTCAGGACAAAATGGAGCACAGATATCTTTGTCAGCTCTCACTGGTTTTACATCTCTCCACCTGATAATGCACATGTCCCCTTTGTCTTCAAATGCTTTTACATAAAAAAAGATTAGTTTTGATGTTTACTTACATGAAGATGTGAATGTTGAAGCATAAGCTCAGGACTATAGGTCATTTGTCAACATCATGTGAGAAAGAGATTGACGTGTGTCTTCATGATTAAGTAAAAAAAATGAGTTTCTTGCGTTTGTTAGTCTTCAGCGCCCTCTAGTGTTGGGCTGTTACACTATTTAACTATACAGAGGCATGAAATGTCAAATATTCCGTCATTCTCAGCTGTCATACATTCACTTTTTTTCCTTAACATATTTAAAACTACAGGAAAGAAAATGTCTGTTCATATACGTTCACTTGTTAAATCAGAGTTTTGCAGCTCCAAATATCTTCAATTTTATTTTCCAAGCAACTTTTCTTGCACAAGTTTCAAATATGAAAAAAAGAATAATTATGTTACCTCAAAACGTTGCAAATTTTATTAAAATTATTATTTGTTTTTAACAAAATACATGTAATATAACCTAATTCTATCTTCACAGTGTCACAGCTGCCTGTTTTCTCATCCTTGCACAACTGGAAGTTCAAACAACCATAATCAGTTTGTGAAATAAATATTAACAGAAACTTAAACCTGGTTACATCAGACAGTTTATTATTATATTTTGCCGTATGGGAAAAAAACACAAAGCTGTTTTACAAATAACTTTGGTGCTTACAATCTGTTTATCATATAATTTAAGTAGGTGCTGAAACAGATACAATGAACATTAAAAGTCAGAATAAACTGWAAAACAAAACTACACTCTTTGAGTTGCTATGACTCATTTTCTACCTTTTCTGTGAAACATTCTTTGACCRAAGTCAGAGGTGTACTTTAGCTGTGTGTGATAACAGAGCGTGAGACGAACCGCAGGTGCGCACTTAGATTTTCTCGGAATAAAAAAGAACAGCCAAATTATTCCACATCAGCTCAGGGTCAAGTTTGAATATAAAAGTCAGATAGAAGAGTTCATTCTTTGCAGAAGCGCTTTGACAAAACGCAAACATGCTCAGGTTTCTGGTCTTGACGAGTCTCGCTGCCTTGGGTAAGAAAAAGACATCTTTATTTATATGTGACTGCTATCCTTGCTCCTTTCTTAGTCATGTCTGTCAATTTACAAACATTTCCTATCAGCTGGTATAATCTCTGTCTTGATCATTTGCTATATTAAAAAAAACTGACTAACACAAGGTTTCTATCTGAGCTGAGTCTTTGTCTTTTTTTCACCAGTGCTGGCTGAGCTGGAGCCCCAGCCCAGGTACCTGATGGAAAACTTTGGGAGGGTTGTTGGAGGTGAGGTTGCCAGCCCCAATGCYTGGCCCTGGCAGGTACAGTTCAGTTCATTTTTGTGCCTTGTTTCCACATGAAAAGGAAATTAGATGCAGCTATTACAGATAAATGTCAAACGGAGACATTTTTTTAAAAATATATATATCTCATCAGATCTCTCTTCAGTACCAATCTGGCAGCAGTTTCTACCACACCTGTGGCGGAAGCCTGATCCAAAGAGGCTGGGTTATGACTGCTGCTCACTGTGTGGACAGGTAACATAATGATTAACTGCAGCATTCTTTAGCAGACTGAGCTTTATTTGTTCATAGTTTTTTCAGTATTATTATTTCTTTGACCCAAATAKCCCCAACCGACTCCTGTCGCAGTAATGGCATGTGATTTATTTCTGCTAGCTCCAAATGTCACCAGAAGTAGGAAACATGCGCAGAATCATTTATAGCTGTCACACAGAAGACAAAGTGTTTACTTAAAAAAAGGCAAAAACAAATCAAAAGTAATGAGGCAAAAGTAACAAATCCAGTAAACCGATTTATGGTCATTTCTTTCAGATTTTTTTTAATAATAAAAAAGAGTTTTGTAAAAAAAAAAATAAATTATACTCACTTGTACATAATATTTTCTTTGGTTATTTTATAAATTGTTGCAGCCCCAGGACATTTCGTGTGATTCTCGGTGAACATGACCTCAACGTCAACAGTGGCAGAGAGCAAGTCATCGCTGTCAACCAGATTTACATCCACCCCCAGTGGGACTCTAACAGAGTGTCTAATGGGTAAGATTTTCTTTTTTATTCACACCATTGACCCTAAAAGGCAAGTGTTTATTTTAAAAAGTAATAAAGAAAAACATCTCTAGCTTTTTAATACCTTTCTAAAATGACTTTCCCCTCKGCATTACAGCTATGACATTGCTCTTCTGAGACTGTCCTCTGAGGCCAGCCTGAACGCCTACGTCCAGCTTGCCCCTCTGCCTCCCTCTGGCCAGATTCTGCCTCACAACAACTTCTGCTACATCACTGGCTGGGGTCGCACTGCCAGTGTGTTCATTTATTTGTAATATTTGGCACTGATCAGTTGATTACGTTGCTGCTGTTTGGCCTATTTTCTCTAAAGCTCAACGCATTGTTTATTTCATTTTGACCCAGCCGGTGGTAGCCTGTCTGCTCAGCTCAAGCAGGCCTACCTTCCTGTAGTGGACCACCAGACCTGCTCCAGGAGTGACTGGTGGGGCAGCACCGTGAAAACCACCATGGTGTGCGCTGGAGGTGCAGATGAGGCTGGATGCAATGTGAGTTCTGAAAAGTAGCATCCTTGTTCGTGTTACAATTACATATAGACAAGAAAAATGATGTTTATCTCCATATTTTTTCTTAAATTTGTTTTTTTCAGGGTGACTCTGGTGGTCCTCTGAACTGCCAGGTCAATGGCCAGTACTACGTGCACGGTATTGCCAGCTTTGTGTCAGGATATGGATGCAATTATCCCCAGAAGCCCACTGTCTTCACCCGTGTGTCTGCCTACATCGACTGGATAAACTCAGTTAGTGTTAAAAATAAGTACTATTTCTACGTTAGTCGCATTTTGTGGAATAATGACTTAAAACCTCTTGGTATTTCGACAGTTCTCAAAATGTCACGCCTAATTAATTGTTTTCCTTTTTTTTCTTTCAGATCTTGTAATAAGTGTTGGAGCACACAAAGGCAGGTCATGTTTGGCATCAACTGAACCTACAATCTTGTTTAAAAAAATAAACTTGATTAAAACCTTGCATGATTGTTCTTTTGAGTCATTCTACATGCATAAAACTAGCGTTTGTCTCTGTGTGTGCATTTATTAAATCACAAAATAGGAGTGTGGTTAAAGATTAAAAACGTCAACATTTAGATGCTTATGGAAATTCCAAGAAAAGCTATTTTTAGTTTCCCCCTCCGTGAGATGTGTCAACGTGTCACAGGCACGTTTTTTTTTAAATGTGATAATGTCCGAGACAGTCCACAGGTGTTATAGAAATTTTGCTAAAGCTAAACTAAAGGTACACTCAGCGTATAAAAAAAAACAGACGAGCATTTAGAAACACTGAAATGCTTCAAATGTTTGTTTTCCTGCAGTTTCTTACTGTCACAAATGCAGGAATGTCAAGGTTGCACTGGAACTGATCTAAAAGCTTTAGCTTAGATATTTAGCATATATAACTAATGTTAGGAGTAACCAGGTTTAAATGTGTTTTTATCATTTCTATATGGTTTTTATTTTCTGCATTTGCTGAGCTGCAGTTTCAGCCCCGCCGCAGAGAAAGAAGCACTGAGTTGTGGGAGGTGAAAGTGTGCCTTATAGCTCCTCGTGGCCTTGGCAGGTACAGTATCGCACTGTAAAGCAGAAAAGTCTAGAAAAGGGTGTGAGATCCTATTTTTGGTCAACAGTGTTGATAGAAGAGGAAAAAAAGCACAGGAGCAAATGTGAAAGCTTTTTGAGCTGCTTGTGTTTTCGTTTGTTTCAAGATGGTAAACACTTCCCAGTCTGCATTGCTTTATTTACTTGCACCAAATTAATAAAAAAAGTGTGACATTAAAATAACACAATGCAAAGGTCCAATGAGATTTTGTGCACAGACCAAAATATCTGCAGTTGTTGGGATGAGTTTTACATGTAAACGTGTACTGACAGGTAAAAACAATATGTGTCAAATCTGATTATTTAACTAATTAAAAACTAGAGAAATTACATTTTTCTGTGAATGAACAGAATCGTTAATTTAATTGTGAATGTGCATTTAAATTATGAAAGTTTAACTGAATTGTTTAACGTTTAAAGAAGCAGAAAAAACTCTATAATCTGCAAAATTGTTATTACCCAAGCAATAGATAAAATCATTGCTTAAATCTTAAATGAACAAAAGTGAGGCGAATGGCAACATTTTGCAAAACAACTAAAAACAAATCTCAGCAAAGCTAAAACAAGCTAATTTGTAGTTAAAAGCTGAATATAGCAAAGCTGACTGCTTGTCTCATTTTTCATAATTGTCATGTTTGTGCACAAATAAACTTTTATGGTCATCATTCAGCGTTGTCTGTGGATTATCAGTGGCTAACAAATGAAAAGTGTGAACAAGAAAGATTTGTGATTGTAAACCAGCACGGTGTGTGAAGAATAAATTGTCAACCGTACTCCAGGTTTCTCTTCAGAAATATTACAATGGCTCCTATCACTATGAACTCTGAGTAGCTTTGACTGCTGCTCTCTGTGTACCTGGGTTACAAAGACAAGTTTGTTCACTTTGATCTATCATCAAATACCATAAAAAGTTCTTAGATTTGCACATAAAACAGCTACAGTGCCATGTCCCTTGGAGATCTTCAGCTCATTAAAGCCATGGACCAGAGCAGTTCAAAACTGTCGATAATGTTTAGATTCACAGACTGGAATATGGAAGTATTTAGTCTGCGTTGATCGTTTTATAACTTTACTGTCATGTTCGATTGTTTCTTAAAGGGCCTATATTATGTATTTCTCAGGCACATATTTAAATACTATACCATAACAAAGTATCTATGTCACCTTTAGTTGTTATTAAAATGCTGTTTTTATGTTTAAATAGAAAAAATAAACTTCTCTTCTCATCACTTCCTCTTCTAAACACCTTGAAATTGGCCTCTGTCTCTTTAAGAACCTCCTTCTGCTTCTGTTC